CTTCTTACTCTGGGTCACAAGATTCCTGCGTCTATATAAGCTCGAGACTTCGATTGCTTCGTGCCATTCCACAACGCAACGCTGACCAACATGGTGAGTAAAGACGTGGAGGCAATCTTTGTCTGTTTTCTTTTTCCTTTTTTTATTACTATTTTTTTCTTTTTTTCCAATTCTTATTTCATTTCTTTTTTTTTTTTTATTGAAAATGTTCTACCGTGTCAACTTCTAAGGTTATTAACGCCGTATGCAAAATACAGCGATAGGGTGGGGTAGGTAATAGCATTGTGATAAAGTATAGCGGCGAAAAAAAATCAGGACAAAATGTGTTGGATGCCAAAAGCTGTACATCGGTGGAAGATAGTACGGTAGTGAAAAGGGTAAAGAGGGCATAACAAACAGAGTACGACGGAGATTTGTAAAAGGGGAAGGGGTATACGGCAATTAGATCCATTAGAGAGTATTTACATGTCTGAGGAAGGGAGAGTAACACTGTATGAGGAAAACTAAATCATCGGGTAATATGGGTAGTAATGGTAGTTGGGGAAGTAGGAGAAGAATCCAGAGGGAAGAGGGAATGGTTGTGTACGTAGAGAAGGACGGGGTGTTTGGGGGAGAGTGGAAGGAAGAGAAGTAGGGGGAACTTGAAGAGGAAGAGGATGGATATCGGCAAATACTTTGGACGTAGAGCGAATAGGAATAGAGGGATTGGAAGGTGGATGAGGGAGCGTTTAGGAAGTTTGGGATGTCTTCAAAAGTTTCCGGGGAAATGGAGCTCTGAGAAATAAAGGTTTTCTTGCGAGGAGGAGAAAAGGAGATAGATGTCCGAGGAGTAAAGGTGGATATAGGTCAGGGTGTGGTAGAAGAAAATGGAGTGGGACGTTTAGGATGTCTAGATAAAGTGAGAAGGAGGGGGGATAGGCATCGAGAAAAACTGGAGTGTTTGGATTTAGACTGGAAAAAGAAATTTGTCTGGAGGAGAGAGAGAGTAGAGGTAGGATGGTTCGGGATAGAGTTATCAGATACTGGGGGAGATGCTGAGACATCTTTAGAAGATGGGAGGGGAGCAGAAAGGACAGTTTTGGAATAGGTAGAGAAAGAAAAAAAAACTAACAATACTAATGATAAAGAAGATTGTGCAGTAGGAGATGGAGTGAAGGATGTTGGGAGAAAGGAAGAGGTGTTTTCCGAAGGTTGAGTAATGACCTGGATGGATAATTCGGAATGGATAGAGTTGGCAGCAAACATCGAGGAGGGGGTATTAGTATCAGTGGTCGGAGCCGTGGTCAAAGGAGATCCAGGAGTCGGGACACCAGATAAATCAAATTTAAATGAACTAGTTGATTGGAGGGTCAAGCCTTAAAGCCCCTATTGAGGGTAAAAAAAAAATCTTTATTATTGGCTATGGTAAACCTGATTTATTTTTTTGGGGGAAAAGAAACGGTCCATCCTTCAGGAACCCCATAAGAGCTAGGCGTTTAACCGGAGGCCGTTCATGACCGACACAAAGCCAGCCTTTCATCCTTTCAGCATGGCTCTCACACCTTAGGAAGTGGACCGAAGATGATGAAAAAAGAGAAAGAAAATGAAAGGGAAAGAAGAAAAGACCATGCAAAATTAGCTGGGCCTCAATTTCTGCCTCCTAAGCCCCTCACAACGACGAGCAAGGGAATGGGCGATTTTTTTTTTTTTTTTTTTTTTTTTTTGGGGGGGGGTGATTCTTGATCTTCAGTCTCCTTTTTAATTTTTGATTCCCTATTTTGAGGGGGTGTAAGGGTTGGCTTTCATTACTTATTTGGGTAGCGTCAAATATTAGAATGTATATGATATTTGGTGTAGGGAAACACAGCATATAAAAAAGTAATTTATTCAGTATATTCAAAACACAACAACAAAAACGAAAATATTACGAAGCAACAAATCCAAAATACAAGTAAAAAAAAAAAAACATGATTATTGTTTGTTTGAGCCAACTGCCTGAGGTAACTTTAGTAAATTTAACCAAATTTTTTAATAATGTCCAGCGGGCTTAGAAACAAATTGATTCTCAGTGTTTCGTCACTAGTTTATTATTAAATTACCGTGAATAATGATAATAAAAAATCAATTCCACGTAAAATATAAACCACAATATGTAAATGAGTGAGAGAGAGAAAGAGAAAGAGAAAGAGCATTAGCAAGAGAAAGAGAAAACGAGAGACAGACAGACACAGACAGACAGACATAGACAGAGAGAAAGACGCGAAAAGGCAGAAACAGAAACAATTTGAGAGATACAAAAAGGCAGAGAGAGAGAGAGAGAGAGAGAGAGAGAGAGAGAGAGAGAGAGAGAGAGAGAGAGAGAGAGAGAGAGAGAGAGATGCAGTATACATACATACCGGTATATGCAGTGTGTGCATAAAATCAACAATATAAAATAATGATAAATAAGTGAATGAAGGAATATCACCTAATCGTTTGGCGAGCTTCAGCGCATGGACTGTGGCAGTAGAGGGTGTTGAAT